ACTCAGCTCATCAATGAACAACATTTACATTGTCAAATAGTGTAAACAGTGAACTAATAAAAAAATGTGTGATATAACTGTTGAAAGGATGGGAGAAAAATGATGTGGAAATGTTAAGACAACATGATTTTTATCTACCACAATAGAAGATAATATAATCGACAAATCCAGAAAAAGAAAAAAAGAGTAAAAGCAGACCAATTAGAGACATGAAGACAATAACAGAAACTAAGAGTTAGGAGTTAAGGGCAGTCCCTCTGGCTAGCAGGGGTGGTGGTGGTGGTGCTAGTGATTGAGAAAGTGCTGGTTTAAAAATAATATGCTTTTTTAGTTATTTGGCTTTGTAAACCATTATTTGATAAAAATACAAATTGATTAATTTATATACTTGAAAAAAGATATACTTCTCATGTGCAAAATAAAGTTCTGGGAAGATACATATGAAACCGCTGGTGGTAGTTACCCAAATTTGAAAATGGGGGAGGTAGAGCAGAAACACAAGAGAGTTTTCACTCTCTTCCATAGCATTCTATATATGTGGAACTTTTAGTAATGAACATGTATTACCTTACTTATTAAAATAAATAAAAATAAATATATTCTAAGAAATTAATAATACATTTATTATATATTTTAAATGTAACAGAAACATCAAAAGGCAAGACAATCAAGCAGCAGACAAGCTCATTGCTGGAAATGATCGATGGTGCAGAGTTGATAAATGTCACATAGAAAACCAGAAACTTTTAACTCTTACTTTGAACCTGAATACTCTGTTATGGAGAAGACTTTTCATATTGAAAAAGGCAGAGGAGATCAGTAAAAAGTAAGAATGGCAACACTGCTCTAAATGAGATCAAATCTCTTTAACTGGAGACTTGATATTCTAAGACAATATATTAATCTAGCTTTAGTTATAAACTGACGTTCATGAAAATGGTAATAAGATTATTAGCAAAGCCAGCAGGAATGGTCCTTAATTTAGATAAAAAACAGGTATAGAATGGTATGACGCATGGAATGAAGTTTGACACACACTGTATTGGGAAAACCTTAGGTATTCTGCGAGCAACCTGAAGGCTCCATGCACCCACCCATAGTACCCGCTAGACAACAGGAAGAGAAGGCAAGAAGGAATTAGAGACAAACTTTCCTGACTTTTAGAATGTGTCTTCAAGTTGTAATTCCCATGTGGGACCTAATTTCTTGAACATCTGCTCTGTACTAGGTGCTTCACATGCTACCTCAATTAGTTCATGAAATCTTGTAGGATAAAGACTTAAGTTTGAATTTCCCTGGCTACAAAGTCCACAGTTTTTCTATTAAGCCATGTTGGATGGTGTCAATTGGTGACATCATCCATGTGAACATTCCTCATGTTTAGATTTAGCAGGACACTGTGGTATAGAGAAGAGCAGTCAGGAGAAGGCCGCTTCTTGGGAAGTCCTTTTACCACCCTGGGCTCCAATTTTCAAATCCAGAGTCTCCTCTAATCTAACATTTTCAGATAAAATAAAATCCAGTGAAAGACATACTAACAGAATAAATATTTCCAGCTATTATCTTAAATGGATTACTTCAATATTCACCTTTTCTTTAAATCTATATCTCATTTCACTTTAGGTAGTATCTTTTTTGAAAAGCTGTCATTTCAAAGTACTGAAAACCTAAAATCTAGGCAATGCAAGTATTATATATGACTGAGGCTCTCCTTAAATTACCCTGGAAAGATAAGAGGATTCACTACCGTTCTGGGAAACGGAAATAGCTGTTTCCAGCACTCACTCCTCCCCTGATGCTCCCAATTAACTTTTAAGGACAAGCATAAAGCTTTGTAGAGCTTGATGCCTTCTGCAAGCACTACAGTAAATGTGGGGCACAAATTGCCTCCCATTAAGACAACTGTGGAGGATGACAGAAGTAGGTCAGTTTCAAACAACAGCCTAGCTTAGTAGGCTAAGTGGTAAAATCTGTAATTCTAAAGTTGGGGCATCTTTGAAAGCAATGGCTAATAGGAAAAATTATTTAACTTTTCTTTGGTGAATTTTCCAGCTCTCCCTACTTCCTGAGATAAAATGTCAACTGTTCTTATCAGAAAGAATATGAAAATAGGTAGCACAGTATGCATGTGACAAACGTTTAATAAATTACAAAATAAATATAAATGACAAGTGTTTAATACGTGGATTTTGGCACAGTGAGGTATGATCCAGGTACTGGAGCCAGTCCAGATGTTGTATCAGACTGGTCCTGTTATTATAAGTCAGATTCTACCAGTATAAAGAAGTTGAACACAGGGATAGAGTGACTCCTCAGGGTAGGACAGGAAAGTAGTACTTCTGAGGGGAGGCCATATTTCTGGCTGGGACCCTGGCTTCTGACAAATTTCCAGTGGTTAAGTGTATCCAACACTCCTGGCTTCAAGCTTGGGCTCTAGACCTATCCCCCTGCCCCATGTTCTCAGCCTCAGTATTTGGGAGGGCTGTGAGGTCTTCACTCTCCACTGTTGCCAAGTTCTCAATCCTTTCCACGGTTTTGGAATTTACTCTCTCCCTGGCTGCCATGCCCCATTCCTGCTTTGGCCCTAAGTCAGGAACATCCCACTCAAACCAATAGCTTGTGAGGAATGAGGCTCCAATGTACAGAAGCAATGAGCTGATGCTAGTTAAGACCTTCATTAAGTGAGGGGTCTTGCGCATTTCACCCCTGTGTAAAGTGGTTATAAATAAACACCCTTAACCAGGTGGAAGAACATTATTCAGGAAAACAGGTAGAAGGCTTTGAATATGTGAGTAGATCCTTCTATTCTTCCTTTTCTCCTTGTTTAGGTTTCCCAGCAATGTCTTGTACAGGAACAAGTTTTTGCTGAGAACTGAGGACTTCAGAAACATTTATGTACGTAAATAATATGCTAAGTGCATATAAGTTTTCTCTCGTCACTAATACTGGAACTTGGATGATGAGCCTTCCAGGCCAACAGCTGCAGGTTTAATTCCACTTACTACACATAAATTGGCATTTCTCTAAAATAATGTTTTCAAACCACTGATAATCCACAATAAGAAATACAGTTTACACAGCAAGCCAATGTATTCACACCTAGAAACACAGGCATATAAACACACACAGATGAAACTAAAATTTCATAAAACAATACTTTTCCTCACAATACGCAATGTACTCTATTCTCAATTCCATTCCATCCTCCCTATAAAAAATACACTAACAAGGCCTATCAAATGGATTTTATGATCCAGTAAATGGGTTTTGATGTGACAGAACACATATTGTGCATAGTTTTCATAAGTTGTAATTGTTCATATTCTGTATTTCTTCACTAATTTAGACTGTTTTATTTTCAATTATAATATAATAGCAAATATTTTGCAAGATTGGGCTAAAAACCCTGTGTCCAAATGGATATATAGCTTTGAAATCTGGTGGCAGATGTGCTGATTGGCAAAGACCATTTGATTAGTGACATCGGGTACATCTTTAAAAAATATTATTTCTGCTAAAAGTCAGCTACAAATTTTTTTATAAATACCAAATTAAGAAATCTTACAATTCAATACCAAAAGACTTCTAATGCATGGACTAAAAACTTTGTTATAGAATTACCAGAAAGAGATGTTTTTGGTATTCAATCTTTCTTAAATGTAAAATATAAAATCCAAGCAAGAAACAAAGCATTTTGCCTCTTCCCTGCAGTTTTAATCCTAATACAGTTTTACTTAATTAGCAAATACAGATGGGGTCTTAATAAGAACATTTTAAATGTAAGAGGTTTTTATGATAACATAATCCCACTAGTATTATCATGTTATCATCATTATGTAGTTTAGAAAATTTATGAGTCAGTGAACATTATTTTCAAGACAGTATACAGAGGCTAACCTCATAAACCCCATTCCAGCCAAATGGAGCAGCTCAACCTTCCCAAATACACTTATATATTTTTTGTTCTATTACCTTTATTTCTAACCCTTTCTTGAAGTCTTCCCAGTCAACAAGCTGGAAAAAATCTCTCCCTCCCCTGAAATCACATATGACTTCTTAACAACACTTGCTACATTAACCTTCCTGGGCTTTTTTTTGTAATTGTTCATGTAAACATTATATTAACCCTGACTGACTGTGAGCTTCGTGGAGGCCCTATGCTGTGTCTTACTTATTTCTATACTCTCTCCCAACACCTAGATATCACCTTGCTGTGGCAGGTGATCAATAAATTTTTGTTGGTTGAATGAATATTCTGAAGAACAGTGAAAACAGGCATTTATCTAACCTGTGAAGGTGGTGCTACTGTATAGTGCTTTAAATACATACCAATTTATGAGTCTAATATAAGTGGAGACCCAGTATTGCTTTGCCTTTTCAAGTTTTTCCCTTTTGATATATTCCTTTACTAATCTTTCCCCCCTTGGAAGACTAAACAGCATCTATCATGTTAAGTCAGTGAATCCCATTTAGCAATTAAAGGTGATTACAAGAGCTATTAGGCATCTGCTTTCAGTATTATTCCAGGCATGGTAAATTAGTAATGGCCTGCCTGTTCCCTCAAAGCACTGCCTAATACCTTGATGTTTAGAAAATTTTGCCAAACTTGCTTTGTGTTCTCACCCTGCTAAGATCTGTAAGAATTTCACATTTTCTCTGGAAGTATTGCTAAAAGAATAAAAATACCCTACAATGCGCTGAGTGGCTTCCCTAATTGAATACATAGGCCTAAAATAATCCTGTATCGAAACTAACTTTATACGCATCTGGCATGTAACCAGTAAAATGAAAAAGCAGATGCTGTTAATTTTCACGTGATAAATTTATATGCAATCTCTCTCTCTTTTTTTTTTTTTTTTTTTGGGTAGAGATGGGGTTTCACCATGTTGGACAGGCTGATCTTGAACTCCTGACCTCAGGTGATCCACCCACCTCGGCCTCCCAAAGTGCTGGGATTACAGGCGTGAGCCACTATGCCCAGCCTATATGCAATCTCTTAAGATAGTTGAGTGTACTTCAGAAAGCCCAGTAGAGAAAAAGACATGAATAACTGCAGTTAGCCTAGAAGCCGACAGAAATTTTATAATGGGGGTGGGTAGGTGGGCTGGGGATGGACAGAGATGTGGAGAGAGCTATAATCTCACTCAAGGCTATGCTGCCCCCCTGTGGATACCAAAAATTAGAATCAGTATCTGAGTCAACAGCTCTTCCTTCTCAGTAATAAGACCTTCCTCTAATTTCAATTTGATGGCTGTTGCTAGGACAACTGGGAAATGAGGCAAGGAACAGAGAGATCTCCAAAACACACACACACACACACACACACACACACACACACACACACACACACACACACAGACACACACACACACACACAAACAAAAAAAACAGGTCACTGAAGTAAAGTTATGACATTAATTCTAACTTCTAATAGGAACTCAGAAACTGTGGCCCTGCCAAGGGAAATGTAAAAATGAATCTAAAATGAGATGCCATTGTCCTGAAAAATGATGACTGCAGGTACACAGTGCTCATGTTCAGGCTGTGTGGTAGACTCATCTATCAAAGTGTGCTTGTAAATGGTTCCCTTGGAATTGGATGACAAAACAACTTTTTCTTAGTATGCATGCAGTGGGAAGGAAAACAAACTCATTTTTTAAAACCTGTAGTCACTCGTAAGTTAATCACTCTGACAAGTATTTCTGTTTGCAGTTGGATTGTCAAACAGATAATAAAATAAACATGTGTAGAGAGGTCTCTAAGTGAAACGGCAGTTAATGTACCTCAGTAAAAATGGCAGGAGTATTCCAAATTATTATAGAAATTTGAATACTTGAAAATCTGTAAAGGTTAAGGGGAGTTCCAATGTTTCATTTAGATCCTTATTAGTAAGTGATTATCTACGCTGACTAAAAAGTGTCTCATTCATGTGCTGCAATAACTTGTGCTGGGAGGTGGAGTAGGTACTGAATGCGTGCTTCACACTCCCCCTTAAGGACTCAAGAATAAAGCTAGAAGGGAATGTGGAGTTCATTCAGGTCCAATCTCTTCGTTTTACAGCTAATCTAACTGCAACCTGCAGAGGTTAAATAACTTGCTCCCAAACCCACTAAGTATATCTGGTGAAGCCAAGGCTACGACTCAGTTCTCTCAACCTTCAGTCCTAGGCTCTTTTGTCTCCTTGTGTTCTTAGACAGAACTGCCTCTGTCTGTTATTACACCTTATAACACTGAAATATTTGTGCAAAGTCACTGGGTTTCTACAGATATTATTCTGCCCGTGAATTTTGTCTTATTTCTCCCTAAGTGACTTTAAATTTGGAGCAATTTCAAAATTAGCATTCTTTTGGATGAAGATTTAGTTGGCTTCACAGATAATTTTTTTTTTTTTCCACAAATGGGATATAAGTCCAATTTTGAAGATACATGGTTCAGACACATACCTGAGGCATGTTATTCAGCAGTATGATCATCGGGACGTGGTATACTCATTCACAAACAAGCACGTGCGCGTGCACGCACACGCACACACACACACACACACACACGCCATGAAGAAAAAGATTCAGGGTAAGATATGAAATAGCTACAGAAAACACATCTTAGCATTTATGTCTATCAGCATCTAACATGTTTTCTGAGGTTTAAGATGATAAACAAGCCAGGTGTGGTGGCTCATGCCTGTAATCCCAGCACTTTGGGAGGCCAAGGTGGGCAGATCACAAGGTCAGGAGATGGAGACCATCCTGGCTAACATGGTGAAACCATGTCTCTACTAAAAAAAAATACAAAAAGTTAGCTGGGCATGGTGGCACACACCGGTAGTCCCAGCTACTCGGGAGGCTGAAGCAGGAGAATCACTTGAACTCAAGGCGAAGGCTGCAGTGAACTGAGATCCTGACACCGCAGTCCAGCCTGGGCGACAGAGTGAGACTCGTCTCAGAACAAAAAAAAAGATGATAAACAGTCCTTTTGTGAAGCAATCAGTCATGCTTGCTTTCCCTCCAGATAGCTCTATGGATACTACTGACTTTGGAATGATGAAAGGTAAGACAAAGAGCTTCTTTTTAATTAGCAAAAAAAATAACCTTTCATAGGGTAAAAAAAAAATGTCTGAAATTAGACAGGCCCATAAACATATTCCTAAGAATCCTCAAGCATGTGTTGATATGATTGAGGGTGATGGAAAAAGTATAGCATGATAATTTAACACTCACGATGTTTAAAAAAAAAAAAAAAATCCCTCTGAATTCCCTAGAGAGGTCTTGAAATACTATATTTGGTATCTACCTGTTGATCATAAGTATTACTCTCCAGCATGCTACCTAAGCCCATTACTGTACAATATGAACAACAGAAAAGGCACTGGATAGTTTCCGTTGAATTAATTAAAAAGCTCATAAGACAGTGAGACATTTAACAATAGTAAATTACTCTGTGTACTTAAGAAATATAGCAACATTTCCTAATTTGAAACAACAGAAACAAAACCTCTTAGAATTTGCCTGTCAGGATGGCATCTTTAAAATGACTTCCTCTTCTTTGTGTGTTGGGATCGTCTTTACATGCTAAAATTGAGGGGAAAAAACTCCCCTTGAAAGCAAAATCTGAGTCTTTTCCCTATAAGCTCTGATGATGGGCCTGTTGACGAATGATGCTAGAGGAGTGTAAAGAGACCAAATTAAAAGGAGCACTCAAGGCCCCTATGAGTTAGCCTTGGTGTGGATGGCACCCTGGAGTCTCTTTGTTGGTACTGTTTAGGCATCACATAAGCAGGACTTCCTCAGGACTGGTTTCCTCCCAAGACAGGTTTGGTGCCCTTTACCTCTGTCCCCACAGCACCTATACTTAATGCTATGAAAATGCCTTCCTGTAACACTGTATTCTAACTGCCTACTCACTTTAGTGTCTCCCTGAGTGGGCCGGGGGCGGCTTAAAAACAGGGGCAATACCCTGTTCACTAGCATCCCAAGCATCTAACGTAGTTTCTGGGACACTTCATCTCTACTTCTTGACAAAATAAGTAGGTGTTTTATAGTATAATCTCATTTAACACTCATAACAAGTTCCCACATCATAACAGCTATGTTTCTTTTAATGACTCCAGTAAACAGAGCAAAAAGGCATTTATGAGCTGCAGATTCCCTTGTTCTGTAATAATCACACTCTCAGCCCTAGGTGTATTAACAGAACCTCAATGGCAGATATAATGTGGTCCTGAGCAGTTACAATGTGGGCCTGTTATGACCAGGTAAATGATATATTTTGTTATATAAGTGTCCTACACAGGAGTTGGGGATCAAGAGGAGTCATTAATAGGAAAGATGGTTTCAAGAGCTGCCAAGCACATCACCTTAAGAGACCCAGACAAACAATAACACATGCTGGCAAGGATGTGGAGATTCCTCATGCACTATTGGTAGGAATGTAAATTAGCACAGCCACTATGGAGATACAGCCAGTATGGAGGTTCCTCAAAAAACTAAAAATGAAAATGGCCAAATAGGAACAGCTCTGGTCTGCAGCTCCCAGCAAGATCAACTCAGGCAGGTGATTTCTCATTTCTAACTAAGGTACCTGGTTCATCTCACCGGGACTGGTTGGACAGTGGGTGTAGCTGACAGACAGTGAGCTGAAGAAGGGTGGAGCATCACCTCACCTGGGAAGTACAAGGGTCGGGGAACTACCTTTCCTAGCCAAGGGAAGCCATTAGGGACTGTACTATGCGCTCCGGCCCAGATACTGAACTTTTCCAATGGTCTTCACAGCCTGCAAAACCAGGAGACTCCCTCTAGTTCCTACACCACCACAGTCCTGGGTTTCAAGCACAAAACTGGGCGACTTTTGGGCAGACACCGAGCTAGCCGCAGCAGCTTTTTGTCCAGACCCCAGGGGTGCCTGGAATGCCAAGCAAGTCAGAGCCATTCACTTCCTTGGAAAGGGGGCTGAAGCCAGGGAGCCAAGTGGTCTGGCTCAGCAGGTCCCACCCCCATGGAGTCCAGAGAGCTAAGATCCACTGGCTTGAAATTTTCGCTGCCAGCACAGCAGCCTGACCTCCATCTGGGACACTTGAGCTTGGCAGGGGGAGGGACATCCACCATTACTGAGGTTTGAGTAGGCTGTTTTACCCTCATGGTATAAACAAAGCCGGGAAGTTCAGACTGGGTGGAGCCTACCACAGCTAAGCAAGGCCACTGCAGCCAGAATGCGGCTCTTTTCTGAGGAAGGCATCTCTGGAAAAATGGCAGCGGCCCAGTCAAGGACTTATAGATAAAACCCCCATCTCCTTGGGACAGAGCACCTGGGGGAAGGGGTGGTTGAGGGAATAGTTTCAGCAGACCTAAACGTCCTGCTGGACAGCTTTGAAGGGAGCACCTGGTAAGGGACAGACTGCATCCTCAAGTGGGTCCCTGACCCCTGTGTATCCTGACCAGGAGATACTTCCCAGTGGCGGCCGATAGACACCTCAAACAGGAGAGTTCTGGCTGGCATCTGGTGAGTACCTCTCTAGGACAAAGCTTCCAGAGGAAGGAATAGGCAGCAATCTTTGCTGTTCTGTTGGCTCTGCTGGTGATACCCAGGCAAACAGGGTCTGGAGTGGACCTCCAGCAAACTCCAGCAGACCTGCAGCAGAGGGGCCTGACTGTTAGAAGGAAAACTAACAAACAGAAAGGAATAGTATCAACATCAACAAAAAAGACATCCATTCAGAGACCCCATCCAAAGGTCATTGACTTCAAAGGCCAAAGGTAGATAAATCCACGAAGATGGGGAGAAATCAGTGCAAAAAGGCTGAAAATTCCAAAAACCAGAATACCTCTTCTCCTCTAAAGGTTCACAACTCCTCACCAGAAAGGGAACAAAACTGGATGGAGAATGAGTTTCACAAACTGACAGAAGTAGGCTTCAGAAGGTGGGTAATAAACTCCTCTGAGCTAAAGGAGCATGTTCTAACCCAATGCAAGGAAGCTAGGAACCTTAAAAAAAAGGTTAGACACATTGCTAACTAGAATAACCAGCTTAGAGAAGAAGATAAATGACCTCATGGAGCTGAAAAACACAGTTCAAGAACTATGTGAAGCATATACAAGTATCAATAGCCAAATTGATCAAGCAGAAGAAAGGATATCAGAGACTGAAGATCAACTCCATGAAATAGAGAGAGAAGACAAGATTAGAGAAAAAAGAGTAAAAAGAAATGAACGAAGCCTTCAAGAAATATGGGACTATGTAAAAAGACCAAATCTATGTTTGACTGGTGTACCTGAAAGTGACAGGGAGAATGGAACCAAGTTGAAAAACACTCAGGATATCATCCAGGAGAATTTCCCCAACCTAGCAAGACAGGCCAACATTCAAATTCAGGAAAAACAGAGAACACCACAAAGATACTCCTCAAGAATGCAACCCCAAGACACATCATCATCAAATTCACCAACGCTGAAATCAAGGAAAAAATATTAAGGGCAGCCAGACAGAAAGGTTGGGTTACCCACAAAGGGAAGCCCATCAGACTAACGGCAGATCTCTTGGCAGAAACCCTAGAAGCCAGAAGAGAGTGAGGGCCAATATTCAACATTCTTAAAGAAAAGAATATGCAACCCAGAATTTCATATCCAGCTTTTAAACTAAGCTTCATAAGTGAAGGAGAAATAAAATCCTTTACAGACAAGCAAATGCGGAGAGTTTTTGTCACCACCAGGCCTGCCTTACAAGAGCTCCTGACTGGTACCAGCCACTGCCAAAACATACCAAATTGTAAAGACCACTGATGCTATGAAGAAACTGCATCAACTAATGGGCAAAATAACCAGCTAGCATCATAATAACAGGATCAAATTCACACATAACAATATTAACCTTAAATGTAAATGAATTAAATGCCTCAATTAAAAGACACAGACTGGGAAACTGCATAAAGAATCAAGACCCACTGGTGTGCTATATTCAGGAGACCCATCTCATGTGCAAAGATACACACAGGCAGCCGGGCGTGGTGGCTCATGCCTGTAATCCCAGCATTTTGGAGGCCAAGGCAGGTGGGTCACAAGGTTAGGACTTAGAGACCAGCCTGACCAACATGGTGAAACCCAGTCTATACTAAAAATACACACACACACACACACACACACACACACACACACACACACACACACACAATATAGGTGTGGTAGTGCATGCCTGTAATCCCAGCTACTTGTGAGACTGAGGCAGTAGAATCGCTTGAACCTGGAAGGCAGAGGTTGCAGTGAGCCAAGATCAGGCTATTGCACTCCAGCCTGAGCAACAAGAGCAAAACTCCGTCCCCCACCCCCGCAAAAAGAAGACACATATAGGCTCAAAATAAAGGGATGGAGGAGGATTTATCAAGCAAATAGAAAGCAAAAAAAAAAATCAGGTGTTGCAATCCTAGTCTCTGATAGAACAGACTTTAAACCAACAAAGATCAAAACAGACAAAAAAGGGCATTACATAATGGTAAACGGATCAATGCAACAAGAATAGATTACTATCTTAAATATATATGCACCCAACACAGGAGCACCCAAATTCATAAAGCAAGTTCTTAGAGACCTACAAAGAGACTTGGAGACACTAACACCTACTGTCAATATTAGACAGATAAACAAGACAGAAAATTAACAAAAATATTAAGGACTTGAATTCAGCTCTGAACCAAGCGGACCTAACAGACATCTACAGAACTCTCCATCCCAAATCAGCAGAAGATACATGCTTCTCAGCACCACATTGCATTTAACCTAAAATCGACCACATACTTGGAAGTAAATCACTCCTCAGCAAATGCAAAAGAACGGAAATCGTAATAAACAGTCTCTCAGACCACAGTGCAATCAAATTAGAACTCAGGATTAAGAAACTTGCTCAAAACTGCACAACTACATGGAAACTGAACAAAGACACAACATACCAGAATCTCTGGGACACATTTAAAGCAGTATGTAGAGGAAAATTTATAGCACTAAATGTGAGAAAACAGGAAAGATCTAAAATTGAACCCTAACATCACAATTAAAAGAAATAGAGAAGAAAGAACAAACATATTCAAAAGCTAGCAGATGACAAGAAATAACTAAGATCACAGCAGAACTGAAGGAGACAGATACACAGAAAACCCTTCAAAAAAAAAATCAATGAATCCAGGTTTTGGTTTTTTGAAACGATCAACAAAATACACCACTAGCCAGACTAATAAAGACAGAAGAATCAAATAGATGCAACAAAAAATGATAAAGGGGATATCACCAATGATCCCACAGAAATACAAACTATCATCAGAGAATACTGTAAATACCTCTAAGCAAATAAACTAGAAAATCTAGAAGAAATGGATAAATTCCTGGACACATACACCCTCCCAAGACTAAACTAGGAAGAAGTCGAATCCCTGAACAGACAAATAACAATTTCTGAAACTGAGGTAGTAATTAATAGCCTACAAACTAAAAAAAGTCCAGGACCAGAGCGATTTACAGCCGAATTCTACCAGTTATGAGAGGAGCTGGTACCATGCCTTCTGAAACTATTCCAAACAATAGAAAAAGAAGTACTCCTTCCTAACTAATTTTAGGAGGCCAGCATCATCCTGATACCAGACCTGGCAGAGACACAACAAAAGAAAATTTCAGGCCAATATCCCTGATGAACATCAATGCAAAAATCCTCAATAAAATACTGGCAAACCGAATCCAGCAGCACATCAAAAAGCTTATCCACCATGATCAAGTCAGCTTCATTCCTGGGATGCTGGTTCAACATATGCAAATCAATAAATGTCATCTATCACATAAACAAAATCAAAGACAAGAACCACAAGATGATCCCAATAGATGAAGAAAGGCCTTCAACAAAATTCAACAGCCCTTCATGCTAAAAACTCTAAATAAACTAGATATTGATGGAACGTATCTCAAAATAATAAGAACTATTTATGACAAACCCAGAGCCAATATCATACTGAATGGGCAAAAACTGGAAGCATTCCCTTTGAAAGCCAGCACATGACAAGGATGCCTTCTCTCACAACTCCTATTCAACACGGTATTGGAAGTTCTGGCCAGGGCAATCAGGCAAGAGAAAGAAATAAAGGGTATTCACTTAGAAAAAGAGGAAGTCAAATTGTCTCTGTCTGCAGATGACATGACTGTATATTCAGAAAACCCTAATCTCTCAGCCCAAAATCTCCTTAAGCTGATAAGCAACTTCAGTAAAGTCTCAGAATACAAAATAAATGTGCAAAAATCACAAGTATTCCTATACACCAATGACAGACAAACAGAGAGCCAAATCATAAGTGAATTCCCATTCACAATTGCTACAAAGAGCATAAAATACCTAGGAATATAACTTACAAGGGATGTGAAGGAACTCTTCAAGGAGAACTACAAACCACTGCTCAAGGAAATAAGAGAGGACATAAACAAATGCTCACGGATAGAAAAAAAATCAAGATTGTGAAAATGGCCATACTGCTCAAAGTAATCTACAGATTCAATGCTATCCCCATCAAGCTACCATTGACTTTCTTCACAGAATTAGAAATAACTACTTTAAATTTCATATGGAACCAAAAAAGAGCCCACATAGCCAAGACAATCCTAAGCAAAAAGAACAAAGGGAGGCATCAAAATACTTGACTTCAAACTATACTACAAGGCTACAGTAATGAAAACAGCATGGTACTGGTACCAAAACAGATATACAGACTAATGGAACAGAGCAGAGGCCTCAGAAATAACACCACACATCTACAACCATCTGATCTTTGACAAACCTGACAAAGCAAGCAATGGGGAATGGATTTCCTATTTAATAAATGGTGTTGGGAAAACTGGCTAGCCAAATGCAGAAAGTTGAAACTGGACCCCTTCCTTATACCTTATACAAAAATAAACTAAAGATGGATTAAATACTTAAACTAAGACCCAAAACTATAAAAACCCTAGAAGAAAACCTAGGCAATACCAGTCAGGACATATGCATGGGCAAACACTTCATGACTAAAACACCAACAGCAATAGCAACAAAAGCCAAAATAGACAAATGGGATCTAATTAAAGAGCTTCTGCACAGCAAAAGAAACTATCAACAGAGTGAACAGGAAACCTACAGGATGGAAGAAAATTTCTGCAATCTATGTATCTAACAAAGGGCCAATATCCACAATCTACAAATAACTTAAGTTTACAAAACAAAACAAAACAAAAACCCAACCCCATCGAAAAGTGGGTGAAGGATATGAACAGACACTTCTCAAAAGAAGACATTTATGTGGCCAATAAATGTATGAAAAAAAGCTCACTATCACTGGTCATTAGAGAAATGCAAATCAAAACCACAATGAGATACAATCTCATGCCAGTTAGAATGGCGATAATTAAAAAGTCAAGAAACAACAGATGCTGGAGAGAATGTGGAGAAATAGGAATGTTTTTACACTGTTGGTGAGAGTGTAAATTAATTCAACCATTGTGGAAGACAGTGTGGTGATTCCTCAAGGATCTAGAACTAGAAAATCCATTTGAGCCAGCAATCC